GCCTGCAAATTAAATATGGCAAAAGACTAGCAACATTATTAACCATGATGTTTATTTTTCTCGTTTCACCATCATAATGTTTGGCAGACTATTCTAGGACGGATAAGAGGCACCAAATACTAAGCTCATATAAAGCTGCGCAATGTAATATTTGGCAAATTACTGCAATTATGATGGTTTAAGCGTAGCACTCACAACCTTCAGTCTTTTTTCCATTTAAAAATTATAGAAATGATTGCAACCTATGAGATTAAGAAATGATGTTTAAGAGTAACTTTTGATTCATTTAGAGTGGTAGCTTGTTTTCATTACTGAGGACAATAGCTGTCCACTATATACTGCTCAAAAGTCATACAGACAGCATAGGGCGATAAAGTGGCACAAGTAGAACACAAACCATTCAAGAACTTGAATCTTCATGGCCTAAGAACTAAACTCTTCCTACAGTTCACGACATGAACAGTCTTCTCATGTAAGTTAAATTCTACTGATGACAAGGACTAAGATCCGAAAAGTTGATGCTTCTGCACTTTTTCTCAGTCGAAGGCCATCATGCGCAGTCAAAATGTTGAAATATCTGAGCAATGCAACATCTTCGCCGTTTTTCAATCCTCAATTACTGCTGGTGGCAAGAAAGTGGTCAACTGCAAAAGAACCATTAACAACTGCCAAGTTTCGTGAGGCATGTTATAGGTGTTGTAGCAGTTTGAATTGATAACAGCTTCTAATAGATCTCTCCTGGCCTCCCCTGCGGCAGCTGCTTACTAATAATAACCAGCAGATACTAAAAATTTAGCTCCTGTGCAAGAGCAAATGCAGATAATGATAAATGGTTGAGGGATAAATGAAAATCACTTACCAAAAGTCAACGTGTAGTAGTGATGCTTCGGAGGTAAACGCTCAAATAGATCAAGCGTTGCTGCAGCGGTAGAGTTAGGTATAAATCCAAGTTTTGAGACAAACAACACACTTGAAACTATTTAAATTGGTATATAAGCACTCTTAGTAATCCATGAGCACTCTAAAAACATTTGCAGCATCCACAAAATTTTAAAACTGATTCATCTCACATCCTACACAGACAGATGACACAGATGTACATACACGAGCATGGAACGTCCGAAAATTGGGCATTGTCGACATTAAAACCGCACCGAAGTAAAACCGAATTACGAAAACAACGTTGGGGCACGATTAGAATAATACAGCACAAAAGATCGTGACTTTAAACTAAGTAATTTCACTCAAGTGAGCGAGTAACAGCGTACACAAACACGCATCAACGCAACTTCACGAAAATGGATAGTGATAGTAAACAACAGGATGCCAACCGAACAGCCCGAAAATCCAGGCGTGGTTACTGCGCAGTGGTCGATTTCTAAAAGTCGAGAAATCTCATCGAATTGAATTGAATTCGCTTTTAGACATTAGAACTAGTAACTTAATCACGTGTTGAACTATCAAACTCGCGATTTCAGTTTGATGTTCCGAACGGCGAGTACTTCTGAAGAGGTTACGCGGCTTGTTGGACGCTATCAGGTTGCACCTCTGACTTTCACTATCGAAGGGTTCGAATTGTAAATAATCAGGCGGCAGCGGAGTTCGCGGGAGTGGACGGTGGGAGGGAACTACCGTGTTTTACCGACTGACTGTGGAAACGGCGTCGAGAATGTAAACAATAAGAGGGAGATGCGTCAGCTTTCTTGGCGCAGACAGGATTTACGAAGGGGGAGACAAGGCGAATGGCTGCCCAGCGTTTCCAATGGCGTCGCGACGCGCCACTGCACTGACGCCGCCGTTCGAATCGAAATACTGAAGCGAAACACCGATCGCTCCCCGCGCACACACTTCGTTGCAAATTGAGTGTTTTTCGAGTTCATGAATGAGGCGCGGTGCCGCGGCATGCATCGTGTAACGTCCTTCGACTGTTTCATTCAACACTCGTTCGTTTTCTCCGCTATTCGACGGAATCGACCATACCGTTGTTGCTCCCATTGTCCGCGTCCGCGTGTTCTACGCTCAACTTCCCGATTAAAATATTACAGCGTAGCGAGCACCTACTGGATCCTCGCGTTTACTTTCGAGCGAGGGCAAACATTCGCGAGAGCTGAAAGTACTTATCCAGTCGCATTTTCTGGGTGCACGCTTCTCAGAGGAAATCCAGTGATGGAAATTGGTTTTACACTTTTATCCACTTATCAAAAAATAATAGAGCTTCGATAGAAAACAAGAGGAAGCGTACCTAAGTACCTAAGTACTTGCTCATCTGGTCGGAATTTGATGCAACACGTGAATCGTTAGGTGGATATCCTCTCTCATAGCAGCACACAGTATGTTTTTTGCCTACCTCCAAAATTGAAGGCGAAATGAAAAAGTGAATGCCTATTCTCTTCGCCACGTGACAGCTCACTGCAGATTCAGGGTCTTCCAAAAGTTTAGCTAGTAATGGCTTTGCTGATTTACTTATGCCCAAGTCCATGACTGGACAATTTTCGGCAGCGTCATAACAGCTGACACTCGAACTTTTTTTTATTTTTTTTTTTTTACTTAAAAGGCAAACTAAATAACGAGACGTTCAGCGTATTTTATCTAAGAATATGCAACAACGGCAACCTTATCAAAAAATTAAGGAAGTGGTAAAACACCAAAGGAAATTAAAATGACGTGATCTTGGCGATTTTAACGTATTTTGATTCTACCAAATACAGACGAGAGAAATTTTTATCTAGGGATTTCGATTTTCAGTCTTTAAGTTTACGATCGGATTCATCAGTTCATTTCTAATTGACTGTCCAATGTGACGAAAATCCTGCAATAGGGATTACAGAAATTATGAGATTTCTTCGTAATTTTGCGTTGCCGTATGTAAAGTTGCGTCGCTCGCAATTGAAGGGGTTTTTACGCCGACAGTTCTCTGGTGCCGGTGGGCACAGTTCAATACGGCGAGGCCTTCTTATTCCTACAAACAATTTTCTTTTGGCGTGAGGTATTATATTTGGCCGTGGTAAGGCCGTCCATATTTTGCCAAATTTTCTTCGATAAAAGACGAATTTTCCGGAAAACTGAAAAAATTATTTTCTTTGAATTTTTCATAGAGTTCCATTTTTCCAATGGATCTGAAAAGTTCAGAGACAATTGTTCATGATTTATGGCAGAAATAAATATTTTGTTGAATTCAAAAGAATATACATTCTTCAGCATGGCACAGGAGAAGAAATTCGATTACGAAACAAACATTGGAGATGAGACGAAAACCCTGTATCTTGAGCACATGTTTTCATTTACTCCTATTATTTATTTTATTTTATATTTAATTTTTTGAGAAGGGGTGTAGGTGAATTAGACTATTCTCTACCGTGAAAGAAAAAAAACCATTGAAATTTTCAAGAAATGTTCTTTGCAATTTTTAATTATCAATTGTAAATATAAAGAATTTACATCGCTGCCTTGCAAATCGGCATACATAGTTTACATCGACATTATCTTTCTCGCGTTCGATTCAGGTTACGTCTTTCAGGTAATTTAAATTTAATGGAGAATGGGTAAAAACTTTACGATAACAATTCTTTGTAAAATCAAAATCTATCTATGCTAGCAATAATATTGTTGGTTCCTAAAATAACATGGAAAAGTAACTCAGTCCATACGGTAAGAGGAAAACCTTGTTTTTTTATTCTTCATTAATTTTTATTTCTTTCCATTGTATTTTGAAAATCATTTTGAAGGAAGTCTTATTAAGTCTGTTTGTATGCAGCATGCAGCAATCCTTGTTGTAGCACATTTGACACATCTTATCTCGATGTTCGCAACAGCTAGTTAATTTTTGTAAAACATTTTTTTCTTCCTCCTTGTACCATAATTCGTGAGATTCGGTATCAAACAACTTAAAACAATTATTCGCAGTGCAGAAAGCAATATTATAACTTACGCAAGTGAAAACTTAAAATACATAATACATTTGCGAGAAAATACTGGGCAAATGACATTGAATTCCTTCAGTGCGCCCTCAATTTGATCAAGTAGGCAAAAAACATTCCCATGAGCTCATACAGTTGCATGCAGTTCCTATGGTGTAATGAGTGATGAAACTGAAGAAATTACTAAAGTTTGCGCCTCGAAATTTTTAGTTGCCGACTTCAGAAATCTCCTTACGTCCTCCCTCTCCCACTCCTTTTTTTTTCATCTTGAAACAGAATCTCGGTGCAAAAAGGATCACATAATATTACGAATAGAACGATTCTGCTTGATTATCTGGTTTCTTTAATAAATCTGCGCTCTACCATAACTCTGTAATCATAAAACTATTCGAATGAAAAAATTGAAAAGAGGAGAGAAGAAAAACGACTATTAATTGAAAATGAGGTGATTTCAAACTTGAGAAGCAACACACCACGGGTTTTTTTCTTACACAATTAAACGCTTATTGCATATAATACATTCTTTCGGGGTGTGATTGATCGCTCCATTAGGAAATTACAGAGTTCTAGGCAGATACAATTTTACTCGTTATTTCCTTTTTTACGATAGGCACACATTAAAAAAAAAGGTTATAGAGGTAATGCGCTCAAACAAGACATTAACACACAAAAAATCCTGTGCTAAGTACTTAAATTTAACTCAAAGCTCAGATACAGGCAGCCTGAATTATGGGTTTAGTCTGCGTCCCTATAGTTATATTAAAATTTTATATCAAGCAGTGACTTACATTCAGACTGAAAAGTACACTGCGACTTTCACACGGAGCTATTTTTAATGGATCTACGTATGTAGGACACGCCTGATTATTTTCTTTTCAGTCGTAAAGTTATGTCTTAACCTCAAGTTCATATTTAATTTAAGCCCTCGATAAGAATGAGGTCTGTATTTGGGGTGATTTTTTAAACACTGTCAGCGATTTATATGTAGATCGTAACAGGGCCTCCTGATATTTAGTTGATTTCATCGAATCAGCTCCTTAAATTTTAAACAGAAAGTTAAAAACTGATATCAAAATGACTTACTCTAGGTTTTGGCTGCTTCAAAATGGAGTTGGTAGACGATGGTAACTTTCCACCCTGAAAACCGAAAAAAAGGTAAAAATCATTCAGTTTTTATTCAATAAAAATTTTAGGATCCAAAGTCTCATACGCGTCTCCCAATGCAATTTTCGCAATTTTCTCCCCTAACATAGTCGTCAAGAGGTCGAGGTTTGAAAAAAATATTGAATAAGGTACCTCTAACAAAACTTGTGTTTGTGAACATTGAAAGATCTATTTTTCTATGATAATTATTGATTATTGTCTAGCCACCTCGATAAAAGAAGGTTCCAACTTGCATCAAAACTTTTTCGCACTTCAGTCATCCATTATTCGTTCTTTAAACTGCGGTCCATTTCACATAGCACATGGTTCCGTTCGACAGAAATACGTCGAAATGGTCTTTTTATGCTATGTGAAGGATCCTCTTGAGCCCTCTTTAATAACAATGTGAGCAATATGGGACCTCCTAAAAAAAAGATTTTTAAGGAACGACTATGAATACGAAGTCGTCGGTGATCACAGAGACCATTCCGATGCATAGAGAAAAAAAAGGAGGTGTTTGCATCTTGAGGTTTGTTTACCCTGTGACGTAGGTCGGTACAATCTGGCCAGCGAAATCCGGAATTCGAAATATGAATTGACTTTTTTCCATAAATTACACCATTTCCAAGAAAATCGATGATAAACGTCGCTGTACCGACCTACGTCATCAAAAAAATTCCAAGATGCCCGAAATGCTAACACCTCCTTTTTTTCTCTATGATTCCGATGGTTAAGTGATCGAACCCCGGAAAATAAAGTGCCCACCATCGCTATGCCGTTGGAGAGGGGCCTATTCTGCCGTGCTAAGGAGGAGCGCAGTATGAACTTCCAGACGTTGCCAAATTTCCTTCAATAAAATATGAATTTTCAGGGGAATTTGTGAATATTTCTCTTCAAATTTTTCAGAGAATCTCCTTCATAAATCAGATCTAAATTATCTGAAAATGCTGAGAGAAAATATTCATATCTCATCTCAAAAATACAAATTTTAGCGGAGGAAATTTGGCAACTCTGGAATGTTCATACGGCGTTTTTTCTGAGGAGGGCAGTATTTGTCTGCGGCTGAAGACTACAATGTCGAGTTTTGCCCGTATCAAGTGTCTCATCGCGTCGCGTCGCAGGCGTTGGCGTTGGCGGTGGCGATGGGCCGTCGATGTCTCGAGTGGCCCGAGATTGTGGAGCTGATGAAAAGCGGAAAAGCGGCAAGGAAAACTCTTCAAGAGCCCGGATGAACGAAAATGTTGACACTCGAGCTGCTCTGTGTACCCAGCGCTCGCAGCTGATCCCCTCTCCGTGCGAAAGTGTGAGACGTCGCGCGCCCCGCCCGGCCCGCGACGGCAACGAAGCCAGTTGAGCTGCTCGGCCTCCTCCTCCGCTTAGAGAAACACTCTTTTGTTCTTTACCTTTCATTAGACATCCTGTGATGATGTTCATCCGGGATTTGCCGTCCGGCCAACTTTTCCCCCGCAAAATTTCTCGAGGATCGCGATGGACCGTGCCACCAATGCTGATTCCTGGACTCTGGGAAAGGTCAAGAGGGGTCGAGTATCATTTGGACGTATTTCTATCAAACGGAACTATGTGCAGTCTGACGTGAACCCTGTTATGCACATATTCTTATGGGTCTCAGGGCTCATGTCTTAATACACATAGTTCCGTTTGATAGAAATACGTCCATTTGATGCACCAAAGGACGTATTTCTGCCAAACGGAACTAAGCGCCAATTTGAGTTCCTTTTGAGGAATTTAGAATGCCGGATAGCGCGTTCTGTCAAACGGAACTAAGCGCCATGGAAAAGCATTGCGAGTATAGGACGGAATGAGCCCGACGCCCGGTTCTGCCGCCAATCCAAGCCCCCCCCCCCTCCACCTTCCTCCTCCGATGCCGCTTAGTTCCGTTTGATAGAAATACGTGCAAATGTTCTCTGGCCTACCTCAAAAATTGAAGGGGAAATAGCAAGGGACGTACACCCCGCGTTCCTTCCAATCTTTATGCCAATGGGTCAGTTGTGCTGGTCATAGAATCGTGTTTTGATGCTTGATTCTTGTAAATCAGCCGAAAAAAATAAGCTCTGTCTAAACAGCAACTTTCTAAGTTCAATTTTCAATTTTAACAGAGATATCGCCCCTTGAAAAGTTGAGTTTTTGACGTCATCCACCGTGGTACCCAAGTAGCATTTTTCAACGGAAAAATCGCGATTTTATCGCCGATAAAGTCGCGATTATCCTCGATTTTATCGGCGATAAAATCGCTAGGATCATCAACATTTGAGCGATTATCCTCGATCTTTTCGCGATTTTATTGCGATTTTATCGGCCCGAAAAAATTGCGATTTTATCGCGATAAGATCGAGGATGATCGCTCAGATGTTGATGATCCTAGCGATTGATAAAATCGCCAAAAAAAAGGGGTTAAAGTTGTCAGCCGATTGCCGTTAGGTTCAGCCGT